GTATTTAAAAGACGTTAGATGAGGCGGCTTAGGGACATGGTTTAGTGGGCATGGTGGTGTTGGGTTGACGGTTGGACTTGATGATCTTAGAGGTCTTTTCCAACCTTAATGATTCTATGATTCAATGTCACCAGGATGAAGACTTACATTTCACTACTCTGTGTCATTCCTGCATTCTCTCCATTCTTAACATGTGAAAGTGATGGTTTTCTTTTAGGTAGCAAGTGACTGCCAATCTCAGAGTCTTCTAATCAGACCATAAGAAGTACAGATAATCAGTGTAACAAGTGTAATTGGTGGATACCTAGCAACAATACACACCTCCAGGGACTGCACAACCCTGCAGTGAAAAGCAAGGTGGCTGCAAATCACACAGGTGAGGTCTTAATTGGACACTTCTTTTTTCTAAACAGGAAGCCTAATAGTAATCAAGCATTGTCCAAAATAATATGCCTGCACAGTGCACATGTTCACTTGCCAATGAATGAGATATCAGCAAGCGCAACAATTTTTAAACATGTAACAATTGCACCAATTCACCCTAAGGAATCAGTTTCAAATCATTTCACCAATGCAAATATGGACAATTCCATTTACAAATGGCTTTATTTTCCCCAGATTAGCCAAGCAAACTGGAAACATATTTAAAATAAGAAGTGAGCTGTTCTAATCGAAATAATATATTCATAAGAGATTTTGTACACATTTAAGTATTTTCAAGGCTGTAGCTTCATGTGAAATCAAAGGCCTGTTGGCACATGAGGTCTGAGCTTCCCAACAATGAAGGCAATGCCAGATGAAGTGATACTTCTAATCATTTTTCTGGCAGGTCAACGTGTGCTAATGGGATGTGCACACAATCCATTTAGTCCCACTGCAATCAATTTTAAGGAAAAAGCATAACCAAACTTCAGGAGTCGAAATGGGAACCACAGGAGCAAAAGCTTTCAAGCAGCACAATGTTGCTTATGGATACTGCCTTTTTGAGATGCTTCATACCTCCAGAGCCTTTGTAGAGGCAGGTGGTCTCTGCAGCTCCAGAGCAAACATTCCTATTCGGAAGGCCAGGTTGTGGTACTCCAGCCGCT